CGGCCCTCATCGCCTTCCGCATGCCCACCGTGCCCGTCGGCTTGGTGGTGAGCCCCGCCTGAAAGAGGTGGAGCCACAGCTCCCAGTGGGGGGCAATGCCTAGGTACCCCTCGCAGACAGCGACGAAGATGGCCGCCTGTGCAATGGAGTTGGGGTTGAAGTTGTGGAGCTCCATGCCGTAGTAATGCGGGAGCGCCCGCATGAACCGGTCCGCCGGTAGGCCAAGACCGTGCTCGTGGATGGCCACGAAGCTCACGATGTAGCCATCGCGCGGCCTCGGCTCTGGCTCAGCCCCTGGAGCAATCCACCCCAGTCTATTAGCGTCGATAACCGGGCGGAGGAGGCCGTCGTCGACAAGCGACTACAGCGTCGCCACAGACACGTCGGACGGACCCCAAGGATCCGCCTGAATGACAACAGCACCGTCGGCCATGTGTGCGGTGGATAACGCGGCTACGGCGGTAAGGCGTGCTCTCGCTATCCCTCTCTCTCTCTCTCTCGCCTTCCCTCCCCCTTCTCCCTTCTTCTCCCCGGCGCTCTCTTCCTTTGTTCTTAGCAACCGCTCAAGGGCAGAAAGGGCGAACGTAGGCAGGCAAGGTAAGGAGGGACGGGGCGAGGCTCGTCACATATTTATGAGGGAGGGATGGGGGTGAAACGGATGGGCGACGAAACCGGGGAAATTTCCCATAGATCTAGCGTAGTTAATCCAGATCCGACTAAACTGCCCACGCGTCCACCTTTTCCTTATTAACCACGCGCGCACAGTAACGTCCCATCCGTAGACATCGAGTCGCATCTGACCGCAGCGACGGCAGGCGTCGTTCCGTCTCCCTGAGAAACCGCCTCAAAAGGCGCGCCCGCCGTTGTCAGCCGATGGGAGGGGAATATCCCCCACCTGATTCCTTTCAGGCTAAGGAACTGGGCACCGAGCCCGTTACGGTCTAGGGGTTCGAAGGCTGGGCCCCCGAGGGTCTCGACAGCCGCCCCAGGACAAACAGAGTCAGGGATGACTATGGGCGAGCCCGTACATGGCTGAGGCTCAAGCAAGCAATTGCTTGGGATGCCCTAAGTCGTGTCTGAGACCGGCAGGGGGGTCTCTGAATGGGATCCCACCGTAGGGAGGCACCGAGCCCCCGGGGCCAATCAAGCGGCCCTGAGACTCACTAGAGAAGCCCTCTGGTACTTTTGGAGTGCGTCTCTAGACCGCTAGCCGACCCCTATCGAATGGGGCACGGGCCTCCACTTGGACTTACCCGATAACAGCTCATCAGAGGTGTCACTGCTCGCGCCCTCCGAGGGTAGCCTGGCATACTCCACCCCTCCTTCCGAACAAAAAGGATGCGCGAGGGCCGCACAAAAAAGACAAGGAAACTCCTGATCGCCCTCTTGCTCCGAGCAGAGGCTCGGGGGCTCCTCCTGCAACCAAGCCGATTCCTTTCAGACTAAGGAACTGGGCACCGAGCCCGTTACGATCCAGGGGTTCAAAGGCTGGGCCCCCGATCTCAACAGCCGTCCCAAGACAAACAGAGTCAGGGATGACTATGGGTGAGCTCGTACATGGTCGAGGCCCAAGCAAGCAATTGCTTGGGATGCCCTAAGTCGTGTCCGAGACCGGCAGGGAGGTCTCTGAATGGGATCCCACCGTAGGGAGGCACCGAGCCCCCGGGGCCAATCGAGCGGCCCTGGGACCCACTAGAGAAGCCCTTTAGTACTTTTGGAGCGCGTCTCTGGACCGCTAGCCGACCCCTATCGAATGGGGCATGGGCCTCCACTTGGACTTACCCGATAACAGCTCATCGGAGGTGTCACTGCTCGCGCCCACCGAGGGTAGCCTGACATACTCCACCCCTCCTTCCGAACGAAAAGGATACACGAGGGCCGCCCAAAAAAGACAGGGAAACTCCTGATCGCCCTCTTGCTCCGCGCAGAGGCTCGGGGGCTCTTCCTGCAACCAAGCCAAGACCCAGCGACCCGAACTCAGGGGCTCGGCTAACGCGATAAAACCCCTCACTCAACAGGGAAAAAGCCCCTAGAGGAGTAAATCCACTCCTCTAGGGCCTCGGGGCTACACCCGGCGGGTGCGCTCGCGCGCACCCACCGAGGCCTCGAGCACAAAACACAATCCCAACGGGAGCTGCTGCGAGCCAAGTCTCGTCAAAATCTCAGGGAGAGTGCTCGCACTCCCCCCGAGGCTCGGGGGCTACTGTCGGATACCATAAAAAGGGGTACCCTAAGCAAGAACCAGAAAAATTGCTTAGACCTTGTAAATATCGAAGCCAAGAGGCAACCACGAGGCCTCGGCCGATTCTCCGATTCGCCTGAGCCCCACGCCGCAAGGCCTCGGACGAGGTACCAACTCTCTGCCTCGCCCGAGGCCCCGCCCGAAAGGCCTCGGATGAGGTACCGATTCTTCGCCTCGCTCGAAGCCGGCTCGGCAGCTACCCCGTCACCGCCGCCTCGACCGGGACGTCACGTCCAACTAACGCAACCAACCACCCCGCGACATTAGCCGAACGACGGCTCGACACAGCGGAATGACCGACGAGATGGGAGTCACATCAACGCCATGCCGTCCGGGATAGGACGGGGTAGGGGTTACCGGCCGCTGTGCTCGGCACTGTGCCCGCGACTGACACCCATGCGGCACTGTGCTTCCTAACCCCACCTGCTCCGAGGACAGTGCGGCGTGGAGAGTCATGTCCGAGTCCCTGTAGCCTCGGAATCAGCATAAAAGACCAACTGCTCCCTCCGAGCCTCAGCTACCCGCCTCCGCACCCCTATAGCCTCAGGATTCGCGCCCGCCGAGCCCCCCACAATGGTTCAGCCTCTGCCCCGACGGGGCCTCGGCTCTCTACGCTGTCGACACACAGCGACCGGCATGTCGTCTACAGTCTGTGTCATGCCCTGCTTCAAGCCATCACAGGAGCCCCCACGTCGCGCAGGATCGGGCGTGACCGGCACGTCGCTCCAGTGCACCGAGGATAAGACTGCTCCGTCGACCATGCCACCACAGTGACAAGCACAGGGCTCGGACATACCGCCTCCACCCACAAAACGCCACGTAGCGAACGCATGTATCGCTCCTGTCCTCCCCTTCAACTATAAAAGAGGGTGACCGGGGCCGTTTCTTGACAGGCACTCACGGAGACATCGCTCAGATAGACACACACGTGCAAGCAACGAGCAACACTCTGTAATACGCACGCTCCCTCACTGTAAGAGATCAACATCTCAAGCAACCCATGCCGCTCCGCACAGAGACCTGGGACTAACTCCCTCTCTCGCCCTGCTTGTAAACCCCTACTACAAGCACCTCGGTGCAAGGAATACAAGATCGCTCTCTCAGACTGGACGTAGGGCACCTATTGCCTGAACCAGTATAAACCTTGTGTCTCTTTGCATCACCATTCCGGATTAGGGACACACAGTACACTTTCACTAGTTGGTTGAGGATCCGCCGGTCCAAAACATCGACAACAAGCGATCTTGATTGCTTTGCCAAAAAAGTGTCACTCACATTGTATTCACTAAGTATAGACCTTGCCATATCAATTAGTCATATTCTTTCTATCAACAAGGTCATTTGATTGTGGAGTGTATTTGATTGAAAAACTCATGTTTGATCCTCACCTTATTGCACAACTTATCCATTTCTTGTATTCTTGAATTTACTATTATTGTCACTTTTCACTTTTTTATTTTCAATTCAAACTAATTCTCAACCCTCTCAACGAAAGATTTGAATATGTTGAAGACTTCACTCTTGTCATTCAAAAGAACATACATGTGAATCTTGAGAAGTTAACCGTAGAGGTGGAAACAAATTGATAAGTTATAAAACAAACACCTCCATCACAATATATTTTCTTAACCAAACAACATATTATAACCTAATAACAATGTCCCAACTAAACTTGCATTCGGTAAGGACCATATCAATGTTTTAAAATAAAATTACTATAACAAAAGCCAGTACCCATGACTTCGCCCGAAATTGCAGGAGTTGACACCAAAGTATTCGCCAGGTGCCATGACCAAAGACAACATACCCATTGAAAGAAACGAAGAATAACTAGAAAATTTAGCTAAGGTATCCAATCATTATAATGCCGCTACATTGTCGCCCTACACCCAACCAAAGAACCAATCCAAAACCAACACAAACGCAAGAGTCTGCATCACCAGTTGATAGCAACATGAACCATTGCACCACATCGTAGCTACATTTCACATTTGACTATCGTCTCCACCACCTGATATGGGGAAAAAAGCATAAGATAGATAGTCTGACGTGCACTTGTGAACAAAGAAATTGATGTATTCTTTTAGGTTATGATGAATTCTCTCATGGTAAGGAATAAACACCGTGACTTGTTGACCTTTCAAGCAAAGATAAATATTTGCTCTAGAACTAGGAAACTAGATAATGAAGACAAATTTAGCATTATCATTAATCTAGTGCACATCAGCAATGAGCCAAGTAGCTTCTAAAGCACATTGCTGGCATTGGACAATCCGTGGTACAAAATGTTTGATGCACTGCTTGAGGCACCAGGGCAATGTCATTACAAATGAATGATGGACTGACAGATTTTGTGCAGGGTTCACTAACAAATACTGGAGCAGACAGGGGGCAAGACGTGCATGAAATTCACTTTCTCATGATACATCATAAGTTCAGTAGAGACTGAGTGAAGATATTCGTTTTACTCATCTTTCATGGATTTTGGCAACCCGTACACAGACTTTCTAACCGATGTGGTGCCTCAGAAACAAAGGTACAATTGATCAAGACATACCATGGCCTTTGTGAGTAAGGCATTTCCTGGAAAGTTTAAAGTGTTTCAGGCATGACCAAGATCTAGTACGATCAGCTAATCCCTGTAAGCTTCTGAATCCATATTCCCTTTCTGGTTGTTTGAGGAGGCGAGCAACACACAGATTGCTAAATGGACAGCTGTACTAGAGACTTGGTTCTATGACTTTTTTTTCTAGCAAGCTCAACTTTGCGGCTGCGATGTGGATTCACTGGCATTAACTGCTTCAGGAGCAGCTGCAGCACCAGGATTAGCATCAGAATTAACATTATCAACCTGATCAGGCTTGTCCTCCTGCATCTCTACGTCGTGGCTACCAGATGATTCCTCAGCTTCTGCATCAGCCATCTCTTCGTCACCATCACCTGATACATGCTCTGTTCCATTTGGTACTGCTGTTGTATGCTCAGGTGTGCTCACAGACTCTACATCAGCAGGCCCAGAATTTTCTGTAATTTGTGTGCAATCCGAACATAGCAGCCCATGAGCAGCTGGATATGGATCAGTGCACTTGGTTATTGTAGATGTAACTAGGAGATTCTACAGACAAGAGAGACAATAGTTGGCAATGAATGTTTCAGAACAAATAGAAGAACACAAACATAATGAATGAAAAAAACTGTCAGCAGATAAACTCTCAACTTAATGTCCACCAAGACATGGGAAACCTTATTTTGTCTTTCTTACTTACAGAAGAACTGTAGCAACTGCTGCATTGTAAATTAATTGATCTATTTGTTATCAAGGTGCACTCGATGTTGTTTCAAAAAATCATAACTCAAACCAAGGTACATTATTTTCACTTTAGGTGGTAAACCAACAAGTAAAAAACTTGCACTTTAGATCAATAGGGCAAACTCAGAGTACACGATAACATAGCTAAGAACTGCATGGTACATTGGTACTGATATCTAAGCGATAGTGAAAGCTCAACTGACAAACCTTCTCCAGGGCCAATGCAAGCTTTGATAATTTTGTATATGTTCCTTTTGGATCCAACAAAATCTGTCAATGGAAACTAATGTAAGACTATTTGCTTCGAAATAGGATGAATGCAAGGTATAAATGAAAAAGTAACTGTGTCACTGACATTAATATGGTGTTTGGTTCGAGGAATGGGTAAGTCCATCATCTTCTCACTTCTCACTATTTTTGTTTGGTTTATGGAATGGAATGGGTTGACACATCATCACCTCATTCCTCACAAAGTACTAATTAGTACTAGTATGAGGAATGTAGTCATTCCATCAAATTTGATGAATGGATTCATGATGCACCGCCTCATCTAGAATGGTTTGATTCCTCAAACCAAACACCCTCTAAATTTCTAGGACAAGTTTTAGAAGCAAAATGGAAGGGGAAAGTCTCACCTCACAAAGCCTTTGCAGTGTGAATGGAGGACCCTCTTCAAACCTCTCGAGGGCTGCAAAATAATTCAACAAACAATCACATATTTGCAAATAGTCCAAAAACAGGTATTGCAACTAGTCCACAAAAGGAGTTATCTCTAATTATCTGTAAGAAATAAATTAGCTGATGCGCAAGTAGGCCTTGTATGAGCTGCAATGGAAAACCCACCACCAGCTTTCAAGTACCTAGTTGGTCTAATCATATATTTAAATGCTTTTGCAATGTTAACAAACAAGTAGAAGGTCCATGAAATGCTATTCTCAACTTAATAATGTTCTACAGAAGTAATAGAAGAACAGGGGTATGATGTAGCTATATCACATAAATATAAAAGCACCATTACACCAACTTTGAGTTGGAAACTCATGCAAGAGGCGCGACACCAATAATTTCAAGCACTAGTTTTTTTACCAATAATATCCCTTGAATCTTTGAACCAGCCAATCACAAGGCATGCAGTGCAGATTGGAGTGTCTAGCTTCCAATGCCATGGAAGAGTACTATTTCAATGCTCCAAGTTCTTAACAACCAAAATAAGCTATATCTATGTACAGCTAAGAACATGAGCTACTGCATAACTCAAAGGGCAAACAAAGAATTTGATATCTACAGTCAACCAGGAAAATAGGTCTATTCCACCTTGAAAATATTCAGAAATACATATACACTACAACAACAGAAATTTACTCGAACTTTATAGCACAAAATAAGTGTGAAGGTCGTACCACCATTTAGCTGGCTAAATAGCTCTGAGAAATACCTCTGTTGTCCATCATTTTGGCTCACCATTTCAACCTCAAAATATTCATCCAAGACCTTCACATGATGAACATCAGTTTAGATGATAAACATACACAACACAAATCACCACGCACTACAGCCAACATACCCAAACCCAATACACATACCTGCTTCAGTTGAAGAGACAGTACACTCTTGAGGAACCTCCAGTCATGCCTGCAAAGGAGTTAGTCACAAGTATAAATGTTGTGCTCCAATCTTTTGTCCCAGTATTCTGGATGCAGCAAGAATGCATTTTTATAAAACAAAATGAAAGAAACATAATCAACCTAGTGTCCTGGTACATGCTGGTTAGCATTTTACAACAGATTCTACTCAAAGACCATGAAACACATACCCATCATCAGTTTAAATGAGGCAATAAACTAAATTATTTTTTGTGCAAAATGATGGAGGCACTCAGTGTTAAAACTTAAAACTCTAAAAGAACAGAAAACTCATCATGAATAGAAACTATGAAGCAGTATAGGAGAAGTTTAATACCAGAACTTTCCGGTGTCAGCTATAACTTCAATGATGCTTCTCATGTCCTCAGGACTGACATCAACATTTGTCACTGTATCCCTGAAATGATAATGCATTGCACTAAAGCTCATAAGCGAAGTAAAATTAAAGTCAAATTCAGTAAACAAAATTGGAGGCGAAAACCAGCAATGTTTATGCTGTCCTATACCATATTAAAAAACAATGTGCCAAAGAGATGCGATTTTAAACATGGAAGAAAACAAGAACCCTAACCAAAGTGGATGTGCTGTAATTCCTAGACAATTCGAGTCCATGCAAAACCTTCCACTGTATCAAAAAAAGGTGTTGCCATGAGGAAAATGCAGTCATCATTTGAATTTCAATAGCATCTGAGTGAATATTTGGTTTTGGTATGGCCATGTATATGAAAAGATTGACCCTGAATTATGTTTAGCAATGCATGGCTGAAGTTTATTTTGGATACCATGTTGTGTAAGAATTAGGAAGCAAACCTGTTTTTTAATGAAATTATTTTTTTTTGACATTATGACGAACGAAGAAACTACTTCACTTAGACTGGATCAAGAGTTTCAAAACAAACAACAACAACAACAACAACAAAGCCTTTAAGTCCCAAACAAGTTGGGGTAGGCTAGAGTTGAAACCCAGCAGAAGCAATCAAGGTTCAGGCACGTGAATAGCTGTTTTCCAAGCAGTCCTATCTAAGACTAAGTCTTTGGGTATATTCTATCCTTTCAAGTCTCCTTTTATTGCCTCTACCCAAGTCAACTTCGGTCTTCCTCTGCCTCTCTTCACGTTACTATCCTGGCTTAGGATTCCACTACGCACCGGTGCCTCTAGAGGTCTCTGTTGGACATGTCCAAACTATCTCAACCGGTGTTGGACAAACTTTTCTTCAATTGGTGCTACCCCTAATCTATCACGTATATCATCATTCCGAATTCGATCCCTTCTTGTATGACCGCAAATCCAACGCAACATACGCATTTCCGCGACATCTTTGTTAGCCATACTATAGCTATATCCCCAAGACATCTCCACACCTTAATTGGGATACCATCAGGGCCCATCGCTTTGCCCCCTTTCATCCTTTTCAACGCTTCTCTGACATTCGATTCTTGAATCCTCCGCACAAAGCGCCTGTTAGTGTCATCAAACGAGTCGTCCAGCTGAACGGTGGTGTTCTCGTTCTCACCATTGAACAATTTATCAAAATACTCTTGCCATCTATGCCTGATCTCATCCCCCTTCACCAAGAGTTGCTCCCTCTCATCCTTTATGCAGTTGACTTGGTTGAAGTCCCTTGTCTTCCTATCGTGAGTCCTAGCCATCCTATAAATGTCATTCTTTCCTTTCTTCGTACTCAAACGTCGGTTAATGTCCTCATAGGCCCGCCCCTTTGCCTCATTCACCGCTCGTTTTGCAGTCTTCTTTGTCACCTTGTACTTCTCTATGTTGTTTTGCACACCTGTCATGATACAAGCGCTTATAGCACTCCTTTTCTTTAATAGCCTTTTGCACATCTTCATTCCACCACCGAGTGTCTTTCGAGTCGCATCCGCTCCCTTTGGTCACTCCAAGCACCTCTGAAGCAACCTTCCGAACGCATGTTGCCATCTTCTCCCACATGTTGTTTGCACCGCCTTCATCATTCCAAGGGCCCTCTTCAATGACCTTTTCCTTAAAGACTTGATGTATCCTCTTCTAATTTCCACCACTTCGTTCTAGCAACTCTAGCTTGTTTGTTCCCACGAGCTTGCACCAGAAAGCAGAAGTTAGCCACCACCAGCTTGTGTTGAGCGACCACACATTCTCCAGGTATCACCTTACAGTCCACGCATGTTCGTTTATCCCTTCTTCTTGTAAGGACAAAGTCGATTTGACTAGAGTACTGGCCACTACTAAAGGTTACTAAATGGGACTGTCTCTTACGGAAGAAAGTGTTCGCTATCATCAGATCAAAAGCTATGGCGAAGTCTAAGACTTCCTCTCTCTCCTGGTTCCTACTACCATATCCGAAACCCACATGAACCGCCTCGAAACCTGCACTTGATGTACCTACATGGCCATTAAGATCACCTCCTATAAAGAGCTTCTCGCTACTAGGGACAGCTCTAACCAAGCGATCTAAGTCTTCCCAGAAAAGCCGCTTAGCACTCTCATCATGGTCTACTTGGGGCATACGCACTAATTACGTTTAAGAATATATCACTAATGACAAGTTTAACTAAGATGATCCTATCCCCTTGCCTTCTCACCTCTACCACATCATCCTTGAGGCTTTTATCAATCAAAACTCCTACTCCATTTTTATTTGAAGTTGTCCCTGTGTACCAGAGCTTGAAGCCAGTATTGTCCATCTCCTTCGTCTTCTGCCCCTTCCATTTAGTCTCTTGGACGCATAAGATATTTACACGCCTCCTAACCGTTGTGTCCACTAACTCTCTTAACTTACCTGTAAGGGACCCTACATTCCAGCTACCTAAACGGATCCTAGTTGGCTCGACTAGCTTTCTTACCCTTCGCACCCGCCGAGATAGGTGTGAAGACCTTTGCTCATTTTGCACCACACCCGGACGACGATGTGGCGCGCCACTAAGGATGTGACGACCCGATCCTTGCTCACTTGACACCATGTCTAGATCGCGACACGGCGCGTCATGAGGGTGACGACCCGGCCCTTGCTCATTTAACACCATACCCGGGTTCCGACATGGCGCGTCGCTAAGAGGGTTACGCCCCAACGGGATTCTTTTGGGTTCCATCCCTATTAAAGTGGCTAAGTTTTTACATTGGATCGTCGCGCCTAACACAACCATCCTCCTTTACCAGGGCTTGGGATCTGCTATGCTGGGACACCAAAGACGCCCCACCATAGACGGAGTTGTAAGTAATAATTATTCGATCCCTTCTTGTATGACCGCAAATCCAACGCAACATACGCATTTCCGCGACACTTATCTATTGAACATGTCATCTTTTCGTAGGCCAACATTCTGCACCATACAACATAGCAGGTCTAATCGGCGTCCTATAAAACTTGCATTTTAGCTTCTGTGGTATCCTTTTGTCACATAGGACACCAGATGCTTGACGCCACTTCATCCACCCTGCTTTGATTCTATGGCTAACATCTTCATCAATATCCCCGTCTCTCTGTAGCATTGATCCTAAATATCGAAAGGTGTCCTTCCTAGGCACTACTTGACCTTCCAACATTATTTGTTTGTTGTTGAATGCACATGCAGTTCTCCAGCATTTTCGAGAGAAAAAAAAAACCATCAAGGTAAAAGGTCTCCAAATTTCTGCTGAAATTTAGCATTTCAATGCAAGCTGTGCAGAGTCAAAGAGATACCACAGCACAGGGGTAAAATGAAAAGGCACACTTGTCCAATGTCTGTGCAATGAACCTGGCCATGCCCACGTTTTGATCCAATCGCAAAGGGAACTTTCTTCGTCGCCCTTCCACTTTGGTCGCATTTAGGGCTGTTTGCTTATACATGCTTATAAGATTTTGCTTCAAATGAACATCCTTCTCAATGAGAAATCGTGCAAAACTAGGATGGATGTATCCCTGGTGACATCAATTGCATCACAGGGACATCTTCATAGCACTCTATAAAGCAAATCGAGATTTTATACAGAACCATCATCGAAGAATGCACATACAGTGATACAGAGCAATAGCTGTCACATAAATCTGCATCACTTACTCGTCCACCCCGTCCTCCGGAGCTGCATCCTCGATAGCCTGATCTGCGTCAGAAGTTGACTCTGGAGCCACCGTGGACGCCGCAGAGTCCTCCACCACCGCATCACCCTCCACGCGCTGATCCGAGTGGACAGCGGCTTCCGGGGCTGCCGCTGCCACGGGCACCGCTGCATTCTCCGTCACGGCACCCTCCATTCGTGGTTTTTCCCAATTCTGCAAGATAGGCGAAGAATCATAAATCTAGACAATAATAAAAAGAAGGCGCATGGCAGGCGACGGTGGCTAGGGTTTCCACATTCCGAGGGCGAGGCGAACTGTGGGGGCGCTGCAATCTAGGGTTACGGGAGTCGTAACAGCGGCGGTGGTGATGGAAGGGGAGCTCACCAGCAGTTTCGACGCGGGCGGCGGGACAACAGGGCGGCTTCGCTATCTGCGGTCGGCCTGTCGTTGTCGAGAGAGGTGTGCCGTTCACTCGCTCCTCGTTCGTAGACCGGCGAAGGAGGGGGAATTCTGCGCGGGGACGGGAAGCTGCTATTCGTAGCGTTTTTTTTTTTTTGTTAATTAATAGTATAAGTTTGGTTATTTATTTGGTTAATGAATGATGTAGGGGTTCGTAGACCGGCGAAGATAGACCAAAAGCTAGCAGGCTGCCCTTCAACATTAACCAACCCTACGTAGAATCGTCACGTGAGGACCAAGAAAAAAAAGTGTATTTACAGTCAAGCGGGTCCCACATCTGTCCATTCTGCAAGACAGCATATGGGGTATGAGGTGCATGGGCAGCGCATGGGAGCATGTGTAGCCATTCGTTTAGCCGAGGGTGCATGCGGCATGGGGCAGCGCATGGGAGTGCGTGCGGCCACTCGCTCGGCATAGGGTGCATGTGGCACATGGGGCCCGTGCATGTGCTTTGACCACAGAGAGAAGGACTGGCGCTGGGAGTTTGTGAGAGGAGCGTAGGTCCATATCTGTATGTGTAGTATGTTTCATGTATTTCAGATGTATGTTTCATTGCATGTGTTCTATTCGGATGTTACATATGTTGCAATGACTATACACGTATGTTGCAAATGTATGTTTCATATGTTTCGGACGTATATTATAAGTGTTTTATCTTGATGTTGCATATGTTTCGGTGGCTATATTGCAAGCGTCTATTTAAAATATTTCATCTGTTTCAGACCTATGTTGCAAGTGTTTTATCTAGATGTTGCATATGTTGCAATTGTTATACACATATGTTGCAAGCGTATATTGTAAATATTTCACCTGTTTCAGATGTTTGTTGCAGAAGTGTTTAATGTTGCAACATTAGCAGGCACATGCAAAGGTGGTCCCCGTGGGCTCAGCGGTCCCATGTGCGCGGCAAGAGAAGCGGACATGGTTGGTCCCCATCTGCATGCGCGCATCAACAGGCATGGGGCGCGCGACTACATTCGCAGCCGGGGCAATCATATATGTACTATCTCTAACCCCAAAAAGAATGCAACTACATGTTGCATGCTAATTAAAGTGATTCACATTTAATGAATAGTATTCATATTTATGGCTCAAAATCAATTTATTATGAGAATACATTTCATTATTTGATATTATAAATATTGATACTTTTTTATCTATAGTTGATCAAATTCAAGATACTAAAACATGATATTGTGCTATAATTGTATTCTTTCTGGGACGGAGGGAGTGTGAACTAAAGGAGGAAAAATTATGGATTGCAAGACTAAAAGATGCACCTTTGTATTTATTTTGGATCTAATCCTAGGAGCATATTAGAGCCTCCAACATCTGAGAAAAAAGTTTGTTGCAATGTTGCCCCGTTGATGTTGAATGCAAATTCTCAAGCAACTGTAGCAATAGGAATTGCATAAGTATGTCTTGCTATCTTCCTCAAAGTAGGATAGTGTGTTCCTACAACCTTCCACCAATCTAATATATCAAATCCCTTTGTATGTATGTCCACCATCTCATCCTCTAAGTAGCAATCTAGCTCAGATCTGAAGCTCATGGATGTTGGTTTAGTATCTGCAACATGCACTGAAGGAAGACAAGAATCCTGAATTAGATATTGTCGCTGCTTTACTGGTGCTGCTACATGCACCATCCTCCTCCTCGGAATGATACTTAAGCATCAAATCACTCAAGGCCTCACTTTTGCAACCTCATATTCACAATCTTCTCCGGTGGTACCGTGGTACCAAGTAACACATCAAAGCAATGCTATAGCAAGAAGTGAGGATCAAGCAAAGTAGCAATACCCACCAACCCTTGTGAAAGCATCTAGGCCCCTAGTTGGGTTTTGGTAATTAATGACTACACAAGATTATTGTGACCAATGATGTTTTGCAGAGGCAATTAAAGTTAGGTCATGGTAATGGTGATTGATTGGGCAATTATGGTTTTCATGCCCCTGTCGATGAAAATTGTTTTAGTTTTCAAAGGATGGACGACAAGGTTAAGGACGAACTAGTTCTAAGTGTCGTTTGGTGTTGAGAGACAATTAGATAGTTGTAGGACTTTGTTTTTTCCTTTGGCCGTACTTGAAAGGATCTAACAATGCCTAGAGGGGGGGTGAATAGGCGTATCTAAAAATTAACTACAAATGCTAAGTTCAAATTTGTTAGTCAATGTCGGAAGTCCCGACAGTTTGGGTCGAAACTCCCGACGTCGTCAGAAGTTCTAGCACAACCATCAGAAGTCCCAACGCCTACGTGAACTACAAAAGCAGTGCCAAATTTAACTTTACGGATAAAGAATCTTACAACCCCACTTGCTAGTGGTTTGGTGAAGATGTTGGGCCACTCTCTTGACGCCAAAATGCCTCCAAACCGTAGATCGAGTCCAAACCCTAAAATAAAGTTCGGGAGAGAGACAAGCAAATACAAGTAATCTCGAGCAAATACAACAACAAGCATACGGGACACAAAGATTTATCCTGAAGTTCGACAACACCACAAAGGAGCTCCTACGTCCTCGTTGTTGAGGTGACCACAAAGGTCGGAGTCTCTTTCACCTCCTCGCCTCTCTCAAAGCAACCACAAAGGTCACTTGAGCTTTCCACTAAGAAATCAAGGGTAATACAAACTTCCCAAGGCTCTTCCACACGATGGAAGCTCTTGGGCAACGCTTAGTCGGCTAGGGGCAAAGCCCCAAGAGTAATAGACGCAAATCCAACTGAAAGCTCTAGTTTGGTTTTGCTGAATTGATGAAACCCTAAGTGCTAACCTAGTTTATCAAGTGATTATGAGATAGGTAGCACATTCCAAGTGGTGAAGCAAATGAAGATCATGACATGATGATGGCGATGCCATGGTGATGATCAAGTGCTTGGACTTGAAAAGAAGAAAGAGAAAAATAAAAGGCTAAAGGCAAAGGTATAAGTGGTAGGAGCTATTTTGTTTTGGTGATCGAGACACTTAGTGAGTATGATCACATTTAGGTTCGATAGCCGTACAATTAAGAGGGGTGAAACTCATATCGAAATGCGGTTATCAAAGTGCCACTAGATGCTCTAACTCATTACATATGCATTGAGGATCTAGTGGAGTGCTAACATCCTTGAAAATGTTTGTGAAAATATGCTAACACATGTGCACAAGGTGATACACTTAGTGGTTGACATATTTGTGGAAGGGTGAAGAAGATAGAGGTGAAAAGGAGTTAGTCGCGCTGGTCACAGAGGGACTAGACGCGTTCGGTATGGTGACCGGACACGTCCGGTATTAACGACGAACTCAGCGACCGGACGCATCCAGTCCTCGTCCGGTGTGAATCTACAAAGTCAATGTTCAGTAAGAGTCGACCGGACGCTGGGAGCGTCCGGTCCAGAGTGATCAGACGTGTCCAGTCGGACTTGGGTGCTTACTAGACTCGACCAGACGCTGTGTCTTCTACGTCCGGTCTAGAGTCACCGGACGCGTCCGGTCAGCCTTGGGTACTCTCTGGACTCGGCCGGACACTGTGGCTCAGCGTCTGATCTGAGCGTCCGGTCGTCAGCAAGTGTGGGCAACAACGGCTACTTTGGTTTGAACTGGACATGTGGCAGTCTGGGAACGACTGGACGCATCCGGTCGACCTACCGGACGTGTTCGGTATTCACGAATGGTGCGTCCAGTGCTGCGTCCGGTGCACTCGAGCAGCGCGTCCGGTCGATGCGCAGTCAGCCCAATAATTGAGCCAACGACTCTATTTCGTCGGGGCTTCTATTTAAGCCCCATGGCCGGATCTAGCTCGCTCTCTTAGCCATTTGTATTGACATAGCAACCTTGTGAGCTTAGCCAAAGCCCTCCCACTCATCTCTATCATAGATTCACCATCTTTGTGAGATTAGGAGTGAATCCAAGTGCATTGCTTGAGTGTTTGCATCTAGAGGCACTTGGTTTTCATGTTTCGCTACGGGATTCACTTGTTACTCTTGGTGGTTGCCATCACCTAGATGGCTTGGAACAGCAAGGATCATTGAGCGGAGGTTGGTGATTGTCTCCGTCTCTGATCGTGGTGATTGTGAGGGGTTCTTGACCTTTCCTCGGTGAAGAGGCAAAAGGTACTCTAGTGAATTGCTCGTGGCTTGTGTGATCCTCATCTTGTGTTGGTTGTGCGGCACCCTATTGAGGGTTTGTTGTGTGATGCCAATTAGCACGTGAACCTTCAAGTGAGTGAATCGCCACAACGAGTCTAGCTTGCCGGCAAGCAAGTGAACCTCGGTAAAAAATCATTGTGTCATCATTTAATTCTAAGGTGATTGGTCTTCATTGGTATTCATTCTTGTGATTGATTGGTTCATTCCTCGACTCGGCGGTATAACCATCTTGCTCTCTCTCTTTACATTACCGCAAACTAGTTGTCAAGCTCTTCAGTGTAGCTAGTCATGAGAGCTTGTTAGTTTGGTTAGTGTGGCTCTTTAGTTAGCCTTTAAGAGCACACTTAGTGTAGTGACATAGCCATTATGTGGATAGAGACTATATAAACTAGGATTGTGGTAGGTGGCTTATATTTTTTAGTAGGCTAGCGCAACACTCGCTTCGCCTCATATTTGTCTAACCGGTTTGCTAAGTGTTGTTGTAGAAATTTTTATAGGCTATTCAGCCCCCCTCTAGCCATTACAACCTTTCACCAACTGGCTTGACAAAGAAATCAAGTGCTCAAGCTTGCCAAAGTGATTCTCTCACTTAATCCACTCTCCTTTCACTCAA